TTTTTTTTTTGAGGATCTGAGAGCCCAGGGAAGGTTTAGGACACACAGAAGGGACGGGAAACTTCAAAACCAAAAGGCCTTTGATGGGTTTGTGCTCCTGCTGGGATTGTTCTTGAGCAAGCCATAAAAACTCTGATTTCCTGGAAGCTCCTAAGGAGATTACACCGGCTTCCTCCTCATCTGGGCAGTGTTTACCAACAGCAGATTAAATTGGCTGCCACAGAAGGGAAGGAAAATCATCCTCAGATAGAGCAGGGAGAACTCCAAAGCACAGGTTAAAAAATTCCCGAATTCCTTCTACGCACTGGCGAAAAGGAAATGTGATTTCAGCTGGAAAAGCTCCCCTCCAACAATGTTTATGGTACACTCAGCCCCGTTGCCATGGCGATGGAACAACTATTCCCTGCAAACAGGAGAGGAGACCCTAAAAATAAACAGCCCGAGCGAAATCACGCACACACCGCCGTGTCAGGCACCGCAGGAAAATGTTAAAAACATGTTCATAAAGGCTGCAGAGCAAATCCCTGCCTTCCTCAGCAGCTGCTCCTGGAAAATCCGGGTGTTGTCCAGCCCTGATGGGGATTTTTGGGGATGGAGGTGGCACGCAGGTATGGGATGTGTGTGAGTGAACAGCAAATAAAAAGCAGGATTTGCAGGATTTGCATACTTTCCCCTCCGCCTCCCCTATTGATGTGGGCAGGAATCCACCCAGTTCAGACAGGGGAGTGCGGGAGGATGAAAAAAAAAAAAAAATAATAGTGGTGGAGTGAAGAATTAAAGAAAAAAAAAACAGCAGCCATTGGTTCTAACCAGCCCAAAGCCTGGATCCAAACAACTGCTGGGCTCAACCAACAAAGCCCAGCACCCAAAAACCTCCTGCACTCACCAGCCCCATTCCTGGATCCAAGGATTCCCTGGATCCCACCAAGAGGATCCAAACAGCCAATTCCTGCACCCACAAATTCCCTGGATCCCACCAAAAGGATCCAAACAACCAATTTCTATACCCACAAATTCCCTGGATCCCACCAAGCAAAGCCCTGGCTCCAAACAATCCGTGGATCCAAACAACCAAGCCTCCAACCCAAAGAACTCCAGGATCGCACCAAAAAATCCCTGGATCCAAACAACTCCTAAACCCAACCAAGCAATTCCTGCACCCACGAATTTCCCGGCTCCCACCAACCAACCTCCGGAGCCAAAAACCTCCAGGATCCCCCCAACCACCGCCAGCACCGAAACCCCCGAACATTCCGCGCTGGATCCAAGCCCAGCCCCGGCTCCTCCAGCCCCGAGGGGCGGCCGGGGCAGCGCTGGAGGCACCGCCCGCACCTCGCACCCCGGCCCGCCGCTTCCCCCGCACCCCTCCGCCCCCGCTCACCGAGGAGGAGCCCCGCCGGTGCCTGGGTGCCGTCGGGTGCCGGTGCTGGGCGCGGCCCCCCCGCCGTCCCTCATGCCCGGCCCGGCCGCCGGGGCCGCATCCCGGGGCGGCCGCGTTCGACACGGCCGGGGGCGCGCGCGCGCTCGGGGGTCCCTCGGCGGCCACCGTAGCGCCGCTTCCGCCCACGGGCCCGCGGAGCTCGCGGGAAGTGGCCAATCAGAACGCGGCAGCGCGGCAGCACTGACCAATAGGAGAGCGCGTTGAGGTTGATGGGCGGGGTTGGGGGCGGGGCTTGAGGCGCGGGCGGGACGCGCGGTCCCGGTGCCCGGACCGGGCCATGTGCGCGGGCCCGGTCACGAACCGAGCCCGAGCCGAGCCGGGCCGGGCCAGCCCCGCCGCTCCCACAGCGCCCAGAGCCGCCCCTGCCCCTCAGGGAGCTCCGGACAGAGCAGGGAATCGGTTCTTGTCACCCCCGGGTGCTGAGGGAGGACGGGGCGCAGCGGTTGGATGGTTCCAAGTGTTAAACCCCAGTTTATTTTATAAATAAAGACGTGGATAAGGGATTTGGAGGCGCAGAGGTTGGCGAAACAAGGAGAGCACCGGGCTGGATTTTCTCCTTCTGGAATTGGGACTCCCAGTTTTTCCCAGTTCTGAGAAAATTTGACAAAAATTTAAAAATTTGGGTTTCCCCCAAAGCACATTTTCACAGGGAGGGGGGAAGTTTTCAGCCAG